TTAGATTTCAATTCTCTTTGGGAACTCAGTGATCTCTCCATTCTCTAAGCAAGAGGCCAGGTGTTTCCTCATTTGATGATGATCATATGTGCATGTGGCGTTCCTTTCACTAAGCAACTCAAAGGCATTTGCTATCGCATAAACACCACAATCATTTCCATTTAGTTGTTGGTCCACTTCAAGCATATAAACTCTTTTCAATGGATTATTAACAACATTTCCATAGCATTCACATATTTCTTTGCTGGCTGAAGGAGAGAGGTATGATGTTCGTAGGCTATCAGCAACTACAACAATTCCTTTTTTGAAGCACGTTGTGAACCAGTGGTGACGATCTGTGTCATAATGTATTTGTACAGCTTCCCTGGTCACAGGCTTCATGCCAAGTTGTGCCAGCACACAGCTCTGCAAGCCATCCATATCAAACTGCTGTTTCAGAAGCTTCTGGGCAGCATCTATTATTGTGTCATCCAACCAATTTTCACTCATTATAATGTTCTTATGTTCTTGTGTGAGGTTGAGGCATGGCAGCCATTTCCCATCTTGCTTCTCATCAACACAATGCACATCTATGTTTTGTTTGTGGTCCTTTTCCGGTATGGCTGTAGGACCTGCTTCTTGTGGCACAGTTGGTTCACCTACATCAGCTGGCACTATGTGCTCATCTGCTTCTTGTGGCACAGTTGGTTTGCTCTTATGTAGAACTTCCTTTTTATAATAAACAAAAATGTGAAGTAATGTTTCTTTTTTTCTTTTTTTTCTTTTTAAATTTTTTCTTACTTTTTGTCCCTTTCTAGAAGGGAGGGGACATCCTCTTAGATAATTTGTTTTGCCTGATACCATGGCATTGGAGGCACTGACTCTTTTGTTGTTTGAAGCACTGGGTGATTCCTGTATGCTTATATCAGACATAGGTTCTTCTTTTTGAGGAAGACATGCTTTCTTCTGGCACCTGCTATGCCCTTTGTTTGCCTTCATCTGAATAGATATTTTTTTCCTTCCATAAAATTGAAATGTCTTTTCAAAATGTCTCTTGATTTTTCTAATAATTCTGTTCACATTTTGGATCAGTGATTTGTCATTCTTATTGTTTTGAGCAGTAGTTACCACAAAGCCATCACCTTCTGTCTTTTTGTTTGCAAACAGACCTGTTTTAAACAGAAAATAATGAACAAATGGTTAGATAAAGATCACAAAATAACACTTGTGTATCCCAATCACAAACATTATGAAAATTCTTAACATGCAAATAACTATGTACAGTAATGGATGGGCCCATAGCATGTTTATGGTGTGTCTATGCTTTAACTAGACTATAGATTGTGACGAGAGCAATCTCGCCACATTGCATTGGAGTAGCCTGGTTGCTCGCCTGTTGCCCCTGGATTATGGCCCCATATTAAAAGCCTTCTTTTTCCCCTGCTGAAAAGGGCTTATTCGTGCCTTTCTGCCCGATGTTCGGTAGATTCAATCTACCGAACTAACGCACGAATGACTGGACCACCTAGGAGCTGGAGTGTGTCGGCAATTAACCTCCCAGAAGCTGCGGTTAACCACAGCTTAATTGACGAATGCTGGGTGGCCGCCATTCGTATACTGAACACGAGGTCGCGGCCATTTTAAACACGCGAAGGCACAGCGGTGTTCGACCCCCAACTCATGGAACTGAAATCGGACACTTATTTGCGCGAACACCGCTGAGCAGTCAGCCTCCTTGCTTCTGCATTCGGTCATTTAACCGGATGCCTGTTCATTCGGTAGTTTAAACCGTATGAACAGCATTACCCCAGATAGCCATCCCGTGGAGTCTATTCGTATGGAGAATAGACTTTGTGAACACTTTGACTCCACGGCGATTGGACTGTGTGCATAGGATCTGATCGCTATTCGGTACTTTTGTACGCTCAGATCTCAGCTATCTGGGGATGGGTTACATGTATATATTTTGTGTGACAAATGTAATATTGTGTATTTTGTTGTATTTTAGTGTTTTGTTGTAGCCATGTGGGTAATGGAGTTTTGCCTCTGTCCTTGGAGATAATTGGATTACTTCCCAATTATCTCCAGGACAGAGGGAGGGAAGTTAGGATGCATTGTGGGGATGTTTTACCTCTGTGTGTCTGTCATTGGTTCATGTCTGTCCTGTGTCACAGTCTCCCATTTGGTCCCCTAGGGGAGTGTCTACTAGGTGGGAGACCTGCATAAATACTGGGCAGGTAGCCCTCATTAAACAGACCACTGATTGACCCTCAACACGGAGCTCTGTCTCGTTCTTGGGGGGATTTACTGTATGCTGATAGAGATTGATTGCTAGGAGTGTAAGCCGCTTGGGTGCTTTTCCTATTCGTCTGCTAGCGGCTATTCGTGAGGTTCTAGGAGTGTAAGCCACTTGGGTGCTTTTCCTATTCGTCTGCTAGCAGCTATTTGTGAGGTTCCAGCTCGGGAGTTTGGAGTGCTATTTTGTATGCAGTTCGGGAGTTTGGAGCATTCCCTTACATGCGGTTCGGGAGTTTGGTGTTCTGCAGTAGCTGTGCCTGTATCTCTGGAAGGGGAAGATCTACTAAACGGTGGTTTAACCCTTTTATGCTGAGGGTGCCGTTACAGTGATCAATGAAATAAATGCCATGAATATGGCACTGCTTGGAGTGATTCTCATCATGTAAAACAGATCTCATTAACTAAGAATTAGGTGTTCATGGTACAGATTATTATTATTATTATTATTATTATCATTTATATGATGCCAACAGATTCCGTAGCGCTTTACAATATTATAAGAGAGATTTAACAATAAATAAGACAATTCCAAAAAACTTTCAGGAACGATAGATTGAAAAGGACCCTGCTCAATTGAGCTTACAGTCTATAGGAGGTGGGGTAAAAAACACAATTGGACAGGAGATAGCAAACAAAAAGGGTGGGAGTGATGCAGAGCTGGATGAGAGAGTAAAGTGCTGACCTTTAGGAAAGAGCAGGGAACAGGTATGTGAGGTAGAGGTTACTCCGGGAGGTTATAAACTTTCCTGAAGAGATAGGTCTTAAGGCACTTCTTAAACGATTGAATACTAGGGGTGAGTCTGATGGTGTTAGGCAGGCTATTCCATAGGAAGGGAGCTGCCCGCGAGAAGTCCTGCAAGCATGAGTTGGCTGTACGTGTGAGAGCAGCAGACAGGAGAAGGTCAAGGGCAGAGCGGAGAGACCTCGCACCAGGCGGCATACTGAGCAAGCCGTCGAGCCCCCTCCAAGTGTCAGGTCCTCGGTCACTAACCAAGGACCCTTGTCTGCTGCTTTTGCATTCCCTCACTTTCTAACACCACCCAGACTTTCTTTGCACGGTCTACATGCATTAGGAAAATCATTCAGTCATGTTCAGTTTAAGCAATGAAGTTTTATATCTGATGCTAATATCACTGAGAAATTCTAGCATTATTCTAGCATTTCCTGTTGCTTTCAACCCTAATCTTCTATGCCAGCTGTGTATGCATAAGTATTTATCATCCTCCTAAGCATTCCAAGAGTAGGTCTCTTTAATGTATGTCTTATATTTCCTGTCTTTTCCTATTTATTATGTACGGCCACCATGGCCTCTAGCCTGTTCAGCCACTGTGGTATTCTAGGGGCCTTTGTACCTATATTTATTCTGTCTTCCAACACCTTGTTTTATTGGGCTCAGTTCATATGTATTATATGATGTTTTTTAAGTGTTTATTTACAGTTTCTGTTCTTTTCACCATGTTATAAACTTACTAGATGATTATTCCTAACTATCGGGTTCTCTACCATCTCATTACATACACAAACTTCACAACCATACTCTGATTCACATCCTACCTTCACCCGCATTAATCCCAACACAGCCCGCACAGCTACCCTGAAACTCAGGATACAAATTGGGATACGCATATTTCCTAATCCTTGCATCACTATGCCTTTACAATTTGTGTTCATATGCCCTGTAATGGGCAACCTGCCACAGGCTAATTCCACACCTCGTTTGGGCATTTCATTGAAAACATTTATAGATTTTGGATTAAGAATATAATGTCTTGTTTTAGGTTCTGGGTAGTACATTTATAGGCACCTAGTATACGGACATCTTTATTTTACAGTTTTGTAAGGGTAATATTTCCTCAATCTGATTATCATAATGCCACAAATAGGTATTACCTTTGATGTGGCATATTAGATGAGTTACGATAGACGATATGCCTTGGGCCACACTGTCTATATTTACATATGCATTTCTGCACAGTCTACGATTTTGCTTACAAACATATTTATGTGTCATGTCTAATAATATATTTTGAGATTTTCCTAAATATGATAGCATTGTTTAACACTACAGTTCCTGTCTGGGGATATTTGGTCCTGTGGCTTTATGGAATGCCATGGGGCCTGTACATGGGGGTACGGTGGTACTCACAATGTCTTGCTAACATCCATCTACTTGTGTCTTATCAAATCATATTCTTTTACAGGATATCAATTCAGAGCATTATTTGATTTTCAGAATTCACACCAATTTGTCAGTTATGGTTCTTTCTGTAGGTTATAGACCTCTCCTTCCCCTCTCTGCCTCCTTTAGGGGATACTGAAGATTTCAGTTACAGGTTACATCCATACCATACAGAACTACACAAACACTTATACGGATTCGGGTAAGTTTTTAGCCACAATGGCTCACCCGCAATATAGACCCTTTTAGTGAGTAGATTTTACTGGCTTATAGGGATCTAGGTGACCAATAGATGTTAAGTTTCTGGCATCTCTGCCTTGGAGTTAGTGGTTCTGCGAGTCCAACACTCATCCTCCACGCAAGAGGTATTATGCCCCCCGGGCCATAACATAGTTAGCCACCTCCCACAGTGGCATAGAGAGGGTCACACTTAATGCTATTAATTTAAGTTTGACATCATATGCTGGTATTTTCATATTCGTGCCACCTGGTTTAGTCTAAGTCGCTCGTGTTACCCCTCAATTGTTTGCAAGGTATATATTGGTTGTCAC